CTCACGTACCGTGAGATCATGACCTGAACCAAAATCAAGAGTCGATGCTTCACTGACTGAGTCACCCAGGTGCCCCCAAGTTCTGTTATATTTATTCGCATTTTACAGTGAAGAAATTGAAGTTCTGAGGGCATGATTAAACTGACAGCTGTTAAATGGCAGAGCAGAGACTTACACTTGGCTCTTTCCAGATCACCTTCCTGTCCCTCAGCTCAACGCGCTTTGGCTGGAGATGGAGAGTGAACATAGCGAAGCCTGGAAGCACATTGGCTCCCGATGGGCACAGGGTCATTGTTGACTGATGCTGAATCTCATGGAGAAGAGACAAGATGCTGGCTGGAGCCTCACATCAGCCACCAATTTCTCCTCTTACATTCAGCATCTGTAAAATCAGGAGGTGGGATTGGCACCTCAAGGGTTTTCAAACTAGGTTCCTCAGCATCCTGGCATCCCATAGAGATTGGGGTGGGTGGGGGGGAAAGGACAGTAAATAGAGGTGTGGGCTTCCCAGCCCAGCTTCTACCAGGGAAACATAGCGTATCAATTTCAGGACATCCATGAAGACTTTTATTTGAACAGGAGCATCTGAGGTCTCTGCAGCTCTCACCTTCCAGGAGGCATGGTCTAGGTCGTCCAGGTCCTCAGCTGGCGGGAAGCCAGAGGATCTGGTAAGGGAAGTAGGGTAGACCATGTCTGGGCTTCTAGCCCTGTGGGAGGAAGCAGGTTGAAGTCAGAGCTGTGAGATCAGGGAGAGGAGGTGAGTTGCAGGGATACACAGCACCTGCCTCCACACCTGGGAAACACAAACACACTTTTGGCCAAGGCAGACTGGGAGCCAAGAGCAGCACCCATTTTCCCGGGGCCACAGACCAATGCCCCTTTCTCTTCTTCTGCTGGGCCTGCCTGGGCTTGTTCTCAGCGGACACCTGTTGCTGGTCACCAACCTAGGGCCACCCTAACCTCCCGGTGACCTCATGGTTCCTGACTACTCAGCTCAAGAGCTATTTCAAGGCGAAAGCTGAGAAAAGGTAAAGCAGCTCAAGGAGAGGAAAGCACCCAATCAGAGGGCATTCATCGAGAAGCACTATTCCCCTTAAGAGAAGAACCCTACTTTGTGCCCCCTTTATCGGCCTTCTGAGACCAAAGTTTGCCCCTCTGCCTCAGTTTCCCTTTTGGAAACTGGGCATAAGAATGGTGTCTGTCTCCTGGTGGCATCAGCAGGTACAGCTCCCTGAATATCATCATCTCTGTACTCCAGGTGGGGGAGAAAGCTGAGGGCTCTGGCCACCCACTAAATAGAACCGCCTCACATCCTCCATCTATCCCACTGCCCACCCCAGGACTGCCTCTGACCACCATTCACCCTCAACCTGCTGCGGGGCCCAGCCTCACTCCACATAATCAAAGCTGCCAGCAGGGTCCTTTGTGGTGCTGCTCCCGTGTGGCACTGCCTAGGGGCCCCACCATGGGGCAACAGATGGACCTATGGTCTCTACAGAACAATGGTGGGGGAGGGGCTCTGGCATCGCCTGCCCCAAACAGGAAGCACTGCATGAGCTTCAAAGAACTGGCAGGGCCAAGGGGCTGAGTGGCTGGAGCCAGTGCCAGGACTGGCGGCTGCCTAAAGAGATGCCTGCCAGCCTCAGGATGCCCAGCCTGCGGTGGGGGTGGGGCTGCAGTGGCAAGGGCAGCTGGGTCTTGGACAGAGGATGCCTTGCACCCTCCTGGCAGTAGCCTCTGCCCTAGGAGCATGTTGAGAGAAGGGGGCTCCAAGCTAGGCTGTTTCCCGGCTCTGCTGCCACTCACCAGCAGGGCTGCAGGTTCTTTCCCAGGCCACAGTGGCTCTGGCCCTCCAGCAAGCAACCATGAGGGGCAGGGCTGGCACCAAGCCTGCCGCCCACTCCCTGCCTCCTGCTCCCAGCTGCTCTGCTTGGAGCCTTTTCCTCTCCACTTCCTGTTCACACAGGGGGGGGCGGGAAGTGGAGGGAGGAAGCTGGGGGGAGGCGTGTAGGGGGGACCCATTGAATAAAAGGAATTAACCGTTTCCCTCCTCTGACCTCTGGGAATTTCCGCCTGTGAAAGTGTCTCGAAGAATCTGCAGAGCTGGGGGAGTGGGAAGGAGGTATGCCCCTCTTGGCCCCCTCCCCCTCCCCTGGTGGTGGTGGGGCCAGATAACTCCCTCTAGGCCCCCTAACCTTTTGTTTCCCTGGCGCCAGGGGGGCAGCGCCAAGGGCAGCCTGCAGTCTGGTGGCCTCCAAGCCCCCTCCCATCCAACGGGGTTGATGAGGGCCCAGCCTGCAACCTGAGCCCTGGGGTGGGAGAAGGGGGAATTCAAGACTTGGTGGTCCTGGGGGAATAAGCTCACACCCATGCTGGCCAGGCCTGGAGCCCTGTGCCCTCCCTTCCAGGCTGGTGCTCTTGGCCAGTCTGCACTGGGGACAGGAGAAGGGAGGGCTGTCCGGTGGGAAAGCCAGGCCTCAGACGCTAGGCTGTCACACCCTCCGACAGCCACTCCCCATGGAGCTGTGGAAAGGAGCTGGTGGTTTCAGGAAGCCAGTCGACAGCGCCCCCTCGTGCCAGCTGACGACTTGGCCAGGCAGCCCCCCAGGGCCCTCTCAAGGGCGGGCCTCAGGAAGCACCTGCTCCCCAGGACCAGTGACCGCCCTGCATCTCCCCCAGGTGGCTTCCTTGTTTACAGGCCTCCTGCCCTGATCTCAGCGTCACTGCCTGTGGCCACTCCTCCTATTTCCAGTGACAGCTCCAGGAGCAGCTCATTCATCTTGGCCCCTGCCCACGCAGCTGCTCCCCCACTCCACCCCCTTCTGGCCCTCCCCAGGCTTAGGGCCAAGGCCCTGAGGGCCTCCTCTCTCCCCTCCATTCCAGGCCTTGCTTGGTTTCCAGGGATCTAAGGGCTGTAGCTTCCCGTTGCCCTGACTCAACGGAACCCCATTCTGTCAGTGCCAGGGAAGCCTGTGGCCTTTTTTTTCCAGGAAAGAGGAAGCAGCCTAGGACCAGATGGGCAGGCTCAGAAGACAGAAGGGGGCAGGGGCATCCCAGGCTGTCTTAGCCAAGTCCACTGGGAAGAGGGAGCAATAGGGCAGTGTTTGTTTAACTAACATTAGGCACCCATTATGTGCAGAGACAGAAGACCCAAGCTGTTCTAAGTAAGCAAGTGACCATGCAAGTGGCAGGTCAAAATTTAGACCTAATATTCACTGACAGTGGGAAATGGTAGGCCACATGGGGAAAGGAAGGGAGCAATAGCCTCCAAATCTTCGAACAGAGGGAACAGGATTAGGATGCTCTCTGCCCACCCAGGGATTACCAACCCCTCCCTATTTGCTCTCTCTTGCTTTTGGGAGAAGACGGAGAGTCTGAGACTCATCAAAGACGGACAGCTTCTAGCCTGTCCGTTGGCAGAGGCCATGAGGAGACAGGGTTGTTCTAGTGGTTGGGGGGACTTGGCAGGGCAAGACTCCACCAGGACTGCAGGAGATAAAAGTCGTGGAAAGGGTTAGGCGGCAGGAGAGAGAAAAGCATGTAGTCACCAGCCAGGTGGCTTGACCCCAGCCTGATTCCAGGAAGACACACTTGTTATTTTGTTTCAGTCTGAGCAGCTGATGGACCACACCTATAGAGCTGAACAGTGGACTGTGAACCCCAGTCCACAGGGCAAAGGGTGCTCGCTGATGTCACGGGAAGGCCCTGATCCAGACTCCTTAGGGTAGCCACAACTAAGAGTGTATGTAGTCCAGAGGGGAAGGGCGGGTCACAGAAGTTAGATGAGGAAAAAAATCTATCTGCCAAATGCCATGGATGGTGGCAGGGGCAGTCCTACCTCCACACTGGATCTGAACATCATGGTCAAATACCAGACAGTGGGAGGGCAGTATCAAAGCTGGCAGAAGCCGGGAATGCAAGGATCCAGGTTGGCACAGAGAAGAGCAAGCAAAATCTCACATGTATAAGGGCTAGTGAAGGGAGGAAGAATGAGGGCTTAGATTCACGGTGAGGCAGTGCAGATTCCCAGAACATACTAGAAAGGAACAGACTAAGGAAGCACTAGTGGAGAAAGGGACAAGAAATTAGTGCCTCAGCTGCCCGTGTGAAGGATTCTGTGGGGAGCAGTACCACCTGCTGGCCAAAGGGAAGAACAGTGCTTGGTCTGAGGATGGTGGGCCACCATTCCCAGTTGGAGCCTGGAGAGGGAGAGGATGGAGCAGAGGGACAAGGAAGCGAACAGACAGAAAATATGTCAAAATCAGTCACATCACCAGGTGAAGAAGCGAGGTCCAAGGCTGGAAAGTGTTCAGGGTCCCAGCAGCATCCCTGTGGCATCCTATGCCCCTGGAGATCACTCACGTGCCAGTGAGGCCAGCATCAACAAAGCCATCAACTCCAGGACCACCAGCGCAGCGCAGGCAGTTTAATGTTCCCCACTCCATCATCATCTCCCACTGTCCTCCATGAGGCCCTGTCCCCCAGGGCACGCCCACACACCAGAGCCCTAGAAAGTGTACACAAGACACGCCCACCACCAGCACCACCTTTCCCCACCCTCCATGCCCAGGACTTGGAGGGGCTGCCTTTTCTCTCTGGGACCTAGGGGCAGACACAGGAGAGGCCTTCCTCTGAAGGGGAAGAGCCACGCAGTGAAAAGGGAGGATGGTACTCTCGCTCTAGAAGGTGAACAGGATGTCTGTGGGGAGTAAAAAGGAAAACAGGACCTTTAGAGGGGAGAGGGTGATGGGGTCAGAATTCTGACTTCTCCAGGCTAAGGCCCCCTGTTGGGAGGCAGGCAGATGGCCTGGCATAACAGTGGCCCTAAGGCCGCTCTGAAGAACTGGATAGCGGCAGATGATACCTCTCGGTGACAGCTATAATTCCACTCTTCCCAACAATGGGGCGAGTCTCCAGACGACGGAGCGCGGACCAGGGTGTAGCCTTCCCAAGAAGGGGCACGTGCCCCCGACGGCCTGCCCACCCAGCACAACATCCTCCTACAGCCAACTGAGGTGCTCCTCCTCATAGCGCTGGGGGTCGATGAAGGGCCGGTCAATAGAGCGGATCATCAGCTCCCCACAGTACACACACTCAGCGGCCACCAGTTCATCTAGGTCAGCCTTGAGCTGTTCCCGACTGGGCCCCCCAGCGGCAGCCCCACCCTCGGCCTCCTTTGCGCGGGCAGAGCCCTTGGTAGGGGCTGGAGCAGCCCCCAACTTTCGCTGCAACTCCTCGAGCCGGGCCTGCTTGTAGGCCGGCAGGCCAGGCCGCACGGCCTGCAGCAAGCAGTCAGCGTGGAACATGTGGCCACAGAGGAAAAGGTAAAAAGGGCGGTTGAGCAGGGGGAAGTCGCAGGTAGCGCATTTGTCCTGGGGCTCCACTGTGCCGTAGCGGCCCCGCAGCTCCTGCAGATCTCGCCGGATGCGCTGGGCGCTGGCTGTGGCCTCTTCCATCTCCCGCTGCAGCTCCTGGATGTGGTGGTTGTAGGCCTTGAGCGAGCTGCAGATGGCCTCCTTGAAGTGGTCGATGGTGACGAAGTCAGGAAAGAAGGGCAGCACGTCCTCAATCTTGAGCAAGGGGCAGCTGGCCAGGCAGGCCATGGCCGTCTGCACATCTTCCTCCTCCTGCACTACGTGTCGTGCAATCTTCAGCCACAGTTTCTTGCGCAGTTCCTCGTCTTCCTCAGGCAAGTCAGCACACTGTTTGGCTAGGTCCACATCCACCTGTGGGGAGACCACGAGTGTTAAGGTCAAGCCCCCTGCCCTCTACGATACAGATTACGGGAGAGACAGGTGCCCCGGGAGAAGCTGGGCCCGAGGAGAGGCCCCAAGGCAGGATTCCCAGCATTCTGGGAGCAAGCAAGGTGAGGGCTTCTGGAGGCCAGGACAGAAACCTGTCTCAGTAATGGGTATGTGCCTGTCACAGCTTTGTAAAAGCTAATTACGACAGTTGGGGCTTTGATTTTAGCAAATTTAAAAATCACCCTGGAGTATATTCAAAATACAGATTTTTGGGGGGCACCCGGGTGGCTCAGTCAGTGAAGCGTCCGACTCTTGATCTCGGCTCAGGTCATGATCTCACAGTACGTGGGATTGAGCCCGTGTCGGGCTTTGAGCTGACATCACGGAACCTGCTTAGGATTCTCTTTCTCCCTCTCTGCCCCTTCCCTGCTCACTCTCGCTCTCTCTCAAAATAAAGAAATGATCTTAAAAAAAAATTTTTTTTTAAATACAAATTTTTTGGGTCTCACCTCAGACTTTCTGATTCAGTAAGTCCTGGGTTCAGACCCGGGAATTTGTATTTTAAATAGCACTTCGTGTGATCCTAAGGCAAGTGATGACTCAGGATTGAGAAGTGTAACTCGGCACCTTCCCCTTCTGCAGTCGTGGCTGTAACGCAATAGCTAGCATGAATGTAGAACCTACTGTAGAGGAGGCACTGTTGCGAGTGCTTTTCATACACACTACTTTAATCAACTCTAGGAGCTAAGTACCATTACCATTTGTGGCCGAATCCTCTGAGGCAAAAACAGGGTCAGAAATCAGCCTGAGGTCACACAGCTTACTAAGTGGCAGAACCAGACTTCAAACCCTGACCTTAGAGTCCACATTCTTAACCTCTACACTAAAGTACCTCTCTGCAAGAAATGCCAGCACCCTCTAGCCACAGCCCCCCACTCCAAACCCTCAGCATCTGAAGCAACTGCTCTCCAGGTCCTTCTACTGGATGGGGTCAAAACGCATTGGCTCACCTGCAGGGCCAGGTCCACAGCCTCCTCATACAGTTCTAGGACCTTGTAGACATGGACACAAGCACGGTGGTGGCCGTGCTCAGCACAGAGCCGCAGCGCATACTTGAGGTCATAATGCACACGGTGCGGGCTGGCCCCGGCCTGCTCGAGGTAGGCCAGCAGTGAGGCGGGCTGGCCTCGGGCATACAGCGACAGCAGGTAGTTATGAATGGCCTGCTCAGTCTCGCCCAGCTCATTCACGCAGAACTCCATGTAGCGGATGGCCTGGCTCACCTGCTGGGCCTCGCCACCCTGGCTATAATTCACCAGGGCAGGAATGAGCTGCCGGGCATCTAGCCGGCTGCCCAGCTCAATCCAAGCATCCACCAGCTGGCGGGGGATGTGGCGAATGAGGATCGGTGAGAACTTATAGAAAAGCTGAGGGTCACGGTGGCGAGCAAGCACGGCCAGGGCTTCCTCGTAGGCCTCGTGCTGGCAGTGGTATGCCACCACTCGCTCATAGTCCTGCATGATCACGGCAAAGTACACCATGTGTTCTGTGTCTCCATGGCTGGCAAGCAGTTCATGGATGGAGGCCCGGCTGGCAAAGAGCCACTCCTTGTGGCGGGGGCTGCTGAGGAAGGCCCGGAAGCGCTCCCGTGTTTCCCGGTAGAAGTTCAGGGCCTCAGGATCACCCTGCAGAGCCCCGAGCCGGCTCAAGTAAAGCTCCGTCAGCCAGGTGGTAAGCAGTGTGGCCTGGGTACGCTCGGCTGGCTTCAAACTGGCCAATTTTCGCTGCAGGAACTCGGCCAGAGCCTCCTCCTGTCGGGCCTCCAAGAACTTGAGGGCAATCTCCTCAAAGTAGCTCTGGGTCAGGGCGTAGCAGCGGGCACTCTCCAGGTAACGACGCTGGCGAAAGCAGTAATCAGCTTCCCGGGCCAGGACTGTGTCCAGGCAGTCAGGCCGCTCTCGACAATACTCTTTGGCCAGGTCAAAGCGGTTCATGTCCAGGTAGGTGCGCCACACATCCCGGGCCTCCCGCTGCACATGGTAGCGGAAGACGGCCCGCTCAGTGTAGGCCCACAGGTGGCCCGTGGAGGAGTCCTTCACCATGTGCTTCAGCGGCCCAAACTTCTCCAGGAAGTGATCCCGCAGCACCACCTGCCCTGTCAGCGTGCACACTGCCTCCACCCGGTCCGCCAACAGCAGCAGGAAGTGGAACTGGGTCAAGACGACAGCCAGAGGTGGGCTGGCCCCAGGACCTACCCCCTCTGGGTACTCCCAGACTCGCTCCTCACTCAGCAGGGAATCGGGGCGCCCACAGTCCAATGCTCCATACAACACGCCATCCCCCATCATCCAGGCGAAGGCCCGAGGTGCAGAGCGCAACTTGGGGGTATAGAACGCCAACTCACTGTAGCCCAGACTGCTGGGGAACTCACGGAATGGGGGTGGGTGGTCAGCGTAGGCAGCGAAGAGCCCTGAGAAGCCCTGGGCCTCAGTCCCCTCTGCTGCTCGACCTATGAACTGGAAGAGGCGCTGCCGAGTTGTGGCGATAACAAAGCCGCGCCCATCGGGACCCCGCTCAGCCTCAAGGGAGCATACAGGCGCTGGACCCCCTTCTTCATTTAGTACGTACAATGGACGGAAGTAAAGATCTGGGGCAGGGCCGAAAAGTCCACCCTCGCTGGCTGACAGCTCTGCTTCGAAGATCTGGCCTTGGGCAGTGCCGACCAGGATGGGGCCTGTGCTGCTCTCGGTGCCCAGTGCCTTGTTCCAGCCCACACTCTCCACCAGCTGTCCTTTCCAGCGTGCCAGTGGCCGTACCTTCTGTCCATTACGGTTCACATAGAGGACCTCAGTGCTGCTCAGAGCAATCAGCAGGTGACAGCCTGGAGTGGGGAAGAGAATGGCACTCTACAGAATGCTGCCATTCCCACGCTCAGCCTCCTCCTTATCCCCACCACTCTCAAATCCCATCCACCCAGGCAATGACTTACCCTCTGCTCAACCAGTCTCCCCGCCCCCCGCCCCACCAATCTCAGACCTCCACCGCCAGTTACCAGTGTGGTCCAGAAACATCTTGTGAACTCTGGCATCATCCTTGCGTCCCAGCTCCACATGGTTGGGTTCGTTGGCCTTGCCCAAGTCAATGCTGTCAGGACAAGAGTCACAGCATCACTCCAGAGAAGGGCAGATCCTTTTTTGGAATCACAGACCTCTTTATAATCTGATGAAAGCCACAGGCTCTCTTCCCTGAAATCTATACACACATATAAAATTCTGCACACAATCTCAAGGGAACTCTGAAATACACACAGGATCCTACTTAAGAACCTTCAGCTCTGAGAATTCCCCTACCTCATTTTGAGAAGTCACTAAATAGAAGCCTTTTCCCTCTGCTCAGAAGATCTACAGTGCATCTGGGAAGACAATGCAGGGGTATCCCAGATTGCTGGGGTAAAAAAAGAACAAATACTAGCTAATGGTTTACTGAGTACTTTCTATATACCAAGCACCACACCAAGACCTTAACCAAGTATATCTCAATCTTCACAATAACCCTGAGGGGTGCTCCTGTTTAAATTATACTTCCCTTATTAAAACCATTTTCAAATTATATACCCATTTTTAACTAAAGAATCAAAGCAAAGATGTATAAAGAGTTAACAGTCTTCTTCTTAAACCCGTCACTCTCCATAGACAAAACTGATTTTAAGGTCTTTCTCCATCCTTACAACATAGACTTGTTTTGTCACTGTCTTTATATTTTTACAAAAATCACTTCATGTTGTGTACATACGTGTGTATATATATAAATTTTTAACTTGCTTTTCTCACTTAATGATATTTCATGAACATTCCACAGTATCAACAGATACAGCTCTAATTCATTGTTTCAATAACTGCATAATTCTCCCCTTCATGGCTCAACCATAATTTTATCATCATTTTCCTGTTGATGGGCATTCAGTTTGGGTCCAGTTTTTCCGACCATAAATAACCCTGCCGTCAACATCCTTGTATCTATACCCTTGCAAAGCGGTACTTTTCTTTCTAAGATTACGTATTCTCCAAAGTGGGATTGTTGGGTCCAACTTATAGACATTTTAAACTTTAACAGGCATTTCCAGAACACTTTTCCAAAAGACAGTGGCAAGTTATACTCTCACCAGCGGTGTGTGAGAGTCCATTTCTGTGTGTCTTCACCAGCACAATCTATTACTATTTTTAATTTTTGTCAACCTGATAGGTTAAAAAAAACGGTACCTTACCTTTATTTCCCAAAGGTTGAAAATATTTTTAGATGTTTACTGGCAATGTAGAGTTCCTCTTCTTTTTTTTTTTTTTTTTTTTTTT